TATACAGCCGATTATTTTATTTATTTATGAATATGGTTGGGAAAAACTTAATGGATTTCTCTTGCTAATGCTAACAATTAGTTGTTTTCTTATAAGGAAACATTCAACATTCATTGACAGACAAAATACAAGGTAACCAAAAAAGTTCTGTCCATTTTTAAAGGAAAAAAAGAAAACGCTTCACAGTATGTATAACTTATATTTAGTCTTTGAAGTAATCGCCATTGGCATCCAGCACCTTCTGCCAACATGTCTCCAGCTGTTCAATGACCTTGCGGTAGAACACTTTGACGCAAAGAAGTCCATGAGGGCTTTGCACAAGTCTGCTTCACTGGTGAAGGATTTCCCACAAAGATGATTATCCAGGGAGTGGAAGAGGTGGCAGTTGGTTGGTGCAAGATCAGGTGAATAAGGTGGATGGCACAAAGTCTCCCATGTCTCCCTGACCACTTGCACAACATGCGGCTTGTCATGGCTGCGAGTATAGGTTTCCAGTAACCATTTGGCCCATTGGTAGCAGTTCATAATGAACCACTTGACGAGCTGTCCACCAGACACAAAGCATAATCTTGCGTGGGTGCATAGGCGGTCTTACGCTGTGAGGGACAGCATCCTGAGGAGTCAACCAATGTCTGGAACGCTTGTGAGTTTTGTACAGAACCCACTTTTCATCACTGGTAAGCACTTAATTGAATAAGGATGCGGTACGGTGGCGAGAAAGCAGCAATACGCGGACTGCCACTCGTTGTCCCTTGTGGACCTCCAACAGTTTGTACGTCTTACCTAGGCAGTGCAGGTGAAGTCTAACTGTTTCATCGGAAATGTTGAATTGTCTTGCAAGTTCACCACATGTTAGACTACTGTCCTCTTCAATGGCCGCCTTCAGGACTCCGTCATTCAAGACCTGTCGTCGTCCACTGCGAGGCTCATCATGGAGAGACAAATTTCCCGACTTGAATTTTCAAAACCAACGCCTTGCAGTACGTTTATCCACAGCACTATCCCTAAACACTTGACATTTGCGGCGACTTCATGCAGCTGCTGATAAGCCCACTTTGAAGTTGTAAAGCAAACAGCCCTGAACGAGATCTCTAGACACTTCCATCCTTCTCACAGCTGTCCGGCTTATAACTGATGGCCGGGCATGGTGCGCATGTTTTTTATAATGTCTGATGTTCCTACTTCCGGCTGTCCGAATTTGAAAACAATTGCTACACGCATTTCGTATATATTTCAACTTCATTCAACAACTAATCAAAAAATGGACAGAACTTTTTTGGTTACCTTGTAGTATTTTACTGTTGGTTTAAATTTATGAATTTTATAAATTGTCATTCATTAACTGTGCAGTGAGTGCTACTTTCGAGTGATTTTATAAAAAAATAAATATAAATCTTAAAACATTTAAGGAAAACAGGTTTTTCAAATCCAGCAGCTTTTATTGCTTTTTCCAGTATTGATGGTGAGGTGGTGGGGGTTCTTTTCTAACCTTTTGTTTAAGTTAGTGTGGAAAGACATCTTGATTATGTTATTATTTTCTCTTTGTTATAGACAAGCGTATGGTTGCAAGAAAGAAATACGACAACAGCAGAAATAGATTTACGTGGTTTATTTCAACAGGAACGTGAGGGTTTGGGACAGCTACCTTGTGGTAAAGTTCATAAGCCGACTTTGGATCTAGGTCGATCTCTCATAGTAGTTCACACATGTTGACGGTGGTTGATGCTCTCCTGCTGCTGATTGCTCGGCCTGACCGTGACGGTCTGTTTTGCGGCCACCTGTGGACTGCCTGTTGAACTTCCGTGTGACCCCTTTTATAGCGTTTTTTTATGGCTTAACAGGCTCAAGAAACAAAGCGAGTATAATTAGGAGGGAAGCATTTTCATTGGACGAAAAATAGAGCACTTTAAATATTATTTTATTTTTCAACCGGAACATGTGTGTCGGGAACATTTGTAAAGAAAGATAATGGTCATTTTGTGACGGGGCTTTGTCCCATTCACATCCGGTTCACGCTCTTGAGTATTTGCCTGTAAATCAGCCGAGATATGTCTTATTTTATTTTATAACATCTTCAAGTTATATTTGCTATTCATTTTAGTTGTTGCTACTGTTGGAAGTCTTCAGGTGATGTTTTTTGTTATTTGGTACAGTTCTTTATTTGTGATTCTGTAGCACCACTCTGTTTGATCTTATGGAAGATGTAGTGGCTTCATTCAGTTGAAGCCATTTCAAATCATTGATCTTGTTGAAAAAGTTCTTCATGCTGGCATTATGGAATTGTTCTTTTTCCATAGTCTGATTCATTTGTTTTTCTTTGTTTTGCTTTCTTCATTCATTCACATTAAAACACTGGTTCTCGTATGATCACTGAAGTTAAGCAAAGTCAAGCCTGATCAGTATCTAGATGGGTGACTAGGTGCTGTAAGCTTAGATGTGTAGGTGGCATAATGAATAATGGCTCATAATTGCTAATTGAAGAGCTGAGTTCCAATTCCAGTTAGGTTTGTTATATTCACTTACATGCAAATAACCTTGGGAAAGGTATGAATCCAACTCTTCTCCTCCCAGCTTGGGGTTAATTACCAAAATGTGTATCACTAATTTATTATCTCCCACCAAAATTCTTACAATATAAAATATTTTCTGGCTTTAAATAAACTACAACAGGTTGATAAGACATAAAAAACAAATCAATATTATCTCAAAAAAATTCTTGTAATCCAAAAATATTTTCTGGCTTTAAATAACCTGCAAAGGGTTTATAAGTAATGAAAAACAAATCAATTAATCAATCTACAATTGTTGTTGTCCTTTCTTCTTACTTTCCTTCACTTCCTTATGTAAGATGTTTTGTAGTTTCTTTTCTGTTTCTGCTATTAACACTGGGTCATCTCCATATATCAGCATGGCTGATGTTCAACTCCTGGAGAGCAACATACCATGACTTCTTGGTCTCACATTTCCAACTGACTTTCAGTAGACTGACTACATTGAATCAATAACTGCATCTACTGCAAGGAAAATTGGGTCACTCTGTCATTCCAGAAAATTTTGTCTAGTCAGAGTCCATCTTGCACATTTACAAATCTACCATTCATCCATGCCTTGAATACTGCTGCCATATCTGGTCTGGCACTCCTAATATTCATCTTGAGATTCTTGACAAAATCCAAAAAAGGATCTGTAATGTAATCGCACCTGACTTGGCATCTCAACTTCAGTCACTTTCTCACTGACATGGCGTGGCTTCTCTCTGTCTTTTCTACAAATATTTTTATGGTAACAGCTCTGACAAGCATTTTTTCCCTGCTGCCCCGACTGCATAGATTTAAGTGTGCTACTAGATTGGCATCAAGGTCCCACCCACTTACTGTTGAAATAGTTAAATGCAACTGCCATTTCTACTCCAACAATTTAACATAACAACTACCCTGGGTACCTGGCAGCAGCTTCAAAAAACTATGATATATGGATACAAGGGGATAACAACACTCAGCTTCAGTCTACCCTATGTGAAGGGATTATCGGAGAAAATACAAAGGATTTATGGTCCATATAACATCAGGACAGCCTTCAAAAGTGGTTCAACACTTCACAGAGACCTTTTCTGAGTAGACCACCTCATAGAGGAGAACATGACTAAGGACTGTGTGTACACCATCCCATGCAGCTGTGGTAAGAAATACAAAGGAGAATCAGGCCACACCCTTAAGGTAAGACTACAAGAACATTGTAAAGTGGTAACACAAGGGGAAATAGACAAATCAGTTATAGCTGACCACATATGGAGTGAAAAGGAAGATCACTGCCCCCTCTGGGATGAAGTTGAAATAACAGACAGAGAACATCACTGGAAAATATGAAAACTTAAGGAATCAGCATATATGCCAGGCAATAAAAATCTCCTGAGCTGACCAAGCATAGAAATGAATACAATATGGGAACCAGTAATAAGGTGTGCTAGAGAAAAACAATGAATAACAACAAAAATTGCAATATAAGTTCTGATAAAAATGCAATAATAATAAAAGAAAAAATTGCAATATGAGCACTGGTAAAAAATGTTGCCGAGACATTAGGTTTATAAGTCCCAAAAATTCATACACAGATGTCCTCAAGGACACATGGCCCAGTGGATAAAGACATTGGTTAGATCCAGTGACTAAACCCAAAGAGTTGTGAGTTCAATACAACTTGGAGAGTTGGAAAAAACTTGGAGAAAGGGAAACAACTGAGACATTCGGAAGAGGCATGGCACGTGGAACTAGAACAATTTTCAGTTCGAAATTCCAATTACCTGAAGAAGGCTGGAGCATACACCAACGGCTGGAACCTTGTGAATATGGCAATGAAGATGAGGATAACTGTCTGAATAATGCAAGTAATCATAATACCGCATCTCAGAGATATAAACAGAGTTTCTTTTCTATCACTTCCTGCCTGTGGAACTCCCTCCCATTTACTTGCTTCCCTAACAAATACAATCTTCAAAAATTTAAATGCAACGTCAATCTCTATTTTCTATCTTCTTGAATCCCAGTTATATTTTATCCTTTCCTCAATCCTTCCTATACTTAGTCTTTTCTCTCACTTTCACTCTCTGTAACCTCCTGTGTACTAGTGGCATTCATGCCTTGCTTGGGGTGAAATGATTAAAAAAAATATCTTATGTTGTTAAGATTGTGGCCACTAATAATGAATCCTGGTAGGATTTCTAATTCTCTCAGAATTGCCTTGCGACAAATCGTATTAGATGCATATAAGTATTTTTACTGACATAAAAGAAGTAGGACCCAATAATCATACATATAAACATCTAAGACTATTTTTGTAACAAATTACTTAAGAAGCTACATATATTGGCACACACAAATACGTGCACTTATTGGTTCTTAGATACTGACTCAGTTGGCAGTTGAATCAACCTGACTCTTAGTAATTAATAAGCAATTATGAATGTTTTCTTTTTTCACCAAAATTACTTTTCTTACAAAAAAATGGCTAAAATAAAGAGCAAATACACAGACGAAACTCTCATTAATAAATTAATTATTTTCTTTGTCTTTTCTGTTTGTTATTATTTTATTTGCTGTTTTTAGTTTTTCTTTTTACTTAAATGATCATTTTATTTTTATTTTTATTTTTCCTGTCAACAATTTTCTGTTTCTTTTCTGATTTTATCTTTTTTTTCTTATCTTTACAAGCTTTATACTTTCTTGTCACTTTAACATTTCGTTCTATCAGCTTTTAGAAAATATCTTTAATTTCTTTTGCTTTTATTCTTAAATTTCTTTACAATTCTTTCTTTCTTTGTTCTTGCTGTTTCTTTCTTTCTCTCTTTGCTCTTTTTTTGCTTTTTCTTCGTTTTATTCTTTCTTCTTTGGTCTTTAGTTTTCTTGAGCTTTTTCTTTCTTTCATTCTTTCTTTCTTTGCTCTTTTCTTTCTTTCTTTTGCTTTCTCTTCCTTTCATTCTTTCTTTCTTTTTTCTTTAGTCATTAGTTTTCTTGAGCTTTTTTTCTTTCTTTCATTCTTTCTTTCTTTTTTCTTTGCTAGTTTTTTTCTTTCTTTTCTTTTTGCTTTTCTCTTCCTTTCATTCTTTCTTTCTTTTTTCTTTAGTCATTAGTTTTCTTGAGCTTTTTCTTTCTTTCATTCTTTCTTTCTTTGCTCTTTTCTTTCTTTCTTTTGCTTTCTCTTCCTTTCATTCTTTCTTTCTTTTTTCTTTAGTCATTAGTTTTCTTGAGCTTTTTCTTTCTTTCATTCTTTCTTTCTTTGCTCTTTTCTTTCTTTCTTTTGCTTTCTCTTTCTTTCATTCTTTCTTTCTTTTTTCTTTGGTCGTTAGTTTTCTTGATCTTTTTCTTTCTTTCTTTCATTCTTTCTTTCTTTGCTCTTTTCTTTCTTTCTTTTGCTTTCTCTTTCTTTCATTCTTTCTTTCTTTTTTCTTTAGTCATTAGTTTTCTTGAGCTTTTACTTTCTTTCATTCTTTCTTTCTTTGCTCTTTTCTTTCTTTCTTTTGCTTTCTTTCGTCCTTTCTTTTTCTTTCTTTCTTTTTCTTTAGTCATTAGTTTTCTTGGCTTTTCTTTCTTTCTTTTTTCTTTCTTTTCTTTCTTTCTTTTTCTTTCTCTTGCTTTCTCTTTCTTTCATTCTTTCTTTCTTTTTTCTTTAGTCATTAGTTTTCTTGAGCTTTTTCTTTCTTTCATTCTTTCTTTCTTTGCTCTTTTCTTTCTTTCTTTTGCTTTCTCTTCCTTTCATTCTTTCTTTCTTTTTTTTCTTTAGTCATTTCTTTTTTTCTTTTTTTTTTCTTTCTTTCATTCTTTCTTTCTTTTTTCTTTCTTTCTTTTGCTTTCTCTTTTTCATTCTTTCTTTCTTTTTTTTTTAGTCATTAGTTTTCTTGAGCTTTTCTTTCTTTCATTTCTTTCTTTCTTTGCTCTTTTCTTTCTTTCTTTTGCTTTTTCTCTTTCTTTCATTCTTTCTTTCTTTTTTCTTTGGTCGTTATTTTTTTCTTGATCTTTTTCTTTTCTTTCATTCTTTTCTTTTCTTTTTTCTTTTCTTTCTTTTGCTTTCTCTTTCTTTCATTCTTTCTTTTTCTTTTTTTTCTTTGGTCGTTAGTTTTCTTGAGCTTTTTTTTTCTTTCTTTCTTTCTTTCTTTCTCTTTTTTTTTTGCTCTTTTTCTTTCTTTCTTTTGCTTTCTCTTTCTTTCATTCTTTCTTTCTTTTTTTTCTTTGGTCATCTTTTCTTTTTTTTTTCTTGCTTTTCTTTTTTTCTTTCTTTCATTTTTTCTTTCTTTGCTCTTTTTTTCTTTCTTTTCTTTTTTTCTCATTTTTCTTTCTTTCTTTCTTTGGTTTTTCTTTTTCGTTTTTTTTCTTTGGTCTTTTCTTTCTTTGAGCTTTTCTTTCTTTCTTTTTCTTTCTTTCTTTCTTTTTCTTTTTTCTTTCTTTCTTTCATTCTTTCTTTCTTTTCTTTGGTCGTTAGTTTTCTTGAGCTTTTCTTCTTTCTTTCATTCTTTCTTTCTTTTTTTTTCTTTTTTTCTTTCTTTTTTTCTTTTTTCTTTCTTTCTTTTCTTTCTTTTTTCTTTTTCTTTTCTCTTTTCGTTTCTTTTTTCTTTTGCTTTTTCTTTCTTTCTTTCTTTTTTCTTTTCATTAGTTTTTTTCTTTTTATTTTTCTTTCTTTTTTCTTTCTTTCTTTCATTCTTTCATTTCTTTTTTTTTCTTTGGTCGTTCTTTTTTCTTGAGCTTTTTTCTTTCTTTCTTTCTTTCTTTCTTTCTTTGCTTTTTTCTTTCTTTCGTTTTTTGCTTTCTCTTTTTTTCATTCTTTCTTTCTTTTTTTCTTTTGGTCGTTAGTTTTTCTTGAGCTTGGCTTTCTTTTTCTTTCTTTCTTTCTCTTTTCTTTCTTTCTTTTTTCTCTTTCTTTTCTTTCTTTCTTTTTCTTTTCGTTCTTTCTCTTTTTTTCTTTCTTTCTTTTTTCTTTTTTCTTTTGGTCTTTTCTTTTAGTTTTTTTGCTTTTTCTTTCTTTCATTCTTTCTTTCTTTTTTCTTTTTTTTCTTTTGCTTTTCTTTCTTTCATTCTTTCTTTGCTCTTTTTTCTTTCTTTTTTTGCTTTTCTTTTCTTTCTTTCTTTTTCTTTTTTTTTCTTTTTCTTTTCTTTCTTTTTCTTTTCTTTTCTTTCTTTTTTCTTTTTCTTTCTTTCATTCTTTCTTTCTTTTTCTTTTCGTTAGTTTTCTTTTTTTCTTTCTTTTTTCTTTCTTTCTTTTCTTTCTTTCTTTTTCTTTTCTTTGGTCGTTATTAGTTTTGAGCTTTTTCTTTTTCTTTCTTTCTTTTCTTTTCTTTCTTTTTTTTTTTTTTTTTTTTCTTTCTTTCTTTTTTCTTTTTCTTTTTTTTTTTACTGTTTCTTTCTCTTTTTCTTTCATTTTTGTTCTTACTTTGAGCTTTCTTTCTCTTTCATTCTCTCTTTCTTTGTGTTTTTTTTTTCTTTCTCTTTCTTTCTTTCATCCTTACTTTGCTCTTTCTTTCACTTTTTCTTTCTTTCTTTTATTCTTTGTTTTTTGCTTTTTTCTTTTTTCTTTCTTTGCTTTCTTTTACTTTTTCTTTCTTTGGTCTTTATTTTATTTTTTCTTTCTTTCTTTGCTCTTCTTTTTGCTTTTTTCTCTCTTTTATTCTTACTTTGCCCTTTCTTTTTCTTTCTTTGGTCTTTATTTTGTTTGTTCTGTCATTATTTCCTTCTTTCTTGAACTTCATTTCCTTTTTCTTTCTTTCTTTGCTCTTTCTTTTTTCTTTCTTTTTTTTCTTTTTTTCTTGTTTTGCTTTGTCTTTTCTTTTTTCTTGCTTTTTTTTGTTTTTAGTTCATTTGTTGTTCACATTTTTTTCTTTGTCATTTTTTTTTTTACTTCTTCATTTCTCATTCATCCAGTTGTGTGTGGTTTTCTTTTTACCCCTTTACATTTCTTTTTTGAACTTTTATAATTTCTCTCATTCTAATTCTGTCTTTCATTTTTCATTCATTTGCTCTTTCTTTTTCTTTTTCTTTCATTCTTTCTTTTTTTTATTCCTTCTATTATTCACTCATTCTTCACATTTTTCATTTATCTTTATTATCTTTTCCTTTTTTGTCTTTTTAAAATATATTTTAATTTTTTTGGGGGGGGGGCGGAATTTGTCTATTTTTCCTTTCATTATTTTTCTTTACATTTCTCTTTAAATATCTTTCTTTCTTTCTTTCTTGTTCATTTTTTTTCTTATTTCTTAGTTTCACTAATTATTTACCTTATTCATGTCTTTCTTTTCCAACACATTTTCTTTCATTTTCATTTATTCTTTCTCGTCATTTTCTTACTTTATATATTTTTCTTTCTTTCTTTCTTTCTTTACAATTTTTTCAGCTTTTACACTTTGAACTTTCATAATTTCTCTCATTTTCTTTCTTTCTTTTTTCATTAAATTTTCTTTTTGTTATTCATACATTTATTACAATTCTCTCAATTTGTTTCTTTCTTTCTTTGCATTTTCTTTCTTCACATTTTCTTTCTTCATATTTGCTTTCTTTCATCACATTTTCCTTTTTCTTTCTCATCTTTTATTCTTTATTTATTCTTGTCTTTGAATTTCTTTTTTCTTTCTCTGCTTCTTTTCTTGACATTTCATTTTTCCTTCTTTTCGTACTTCTTTACTTTTTTTTTTCTTCCTGTTCTTCTTTATTTTTTTTTTTCTTCCTTTTCATTTCTTTTGCATTTATTTGTATGTTTTTTCTTTTTTCTTTTCTACTTTATTTCTTCTTCCTTTTTTCTTTCACAATTACTTAATTTCTTTTTCTAAATGTATATTTTTTGTCACTTTTTAATTTATTTCACTTTCTTTTTCTACATTTTTCATAATTTCATAATTTCTTTCACTTTTTCCTTCTTTCTTTCTTTTTTTTCTTTCTTTCTTTCTTTCTTTTTATAAATATACATTTTTAACATATTTTAATTTCTTTCATTTTCTTTCTTTTTCTACATTTTTCATAATTTCATAATTTCTTCCACTTTTTTCCTTCTTTCTTTTTCTTTCTTTCTTTCTTTTTCTAAATATACATTTTTAACATATTTTAATTTCTTTCATTTTCATTCTTTTTCTACATTTTTCATAATTTCATAATTTCTTCCACTTTTTCCTTCTTTCTTTTTTCATTCTTTCTTTCTTTTTCTAAATATACATTTTTAGCATATTTGAATTTCCTTCATTTTCTTTCTTTTTCTACATTTTTCATAATTTTCTAATTTCTTTCACTTCTTTTTCTGTCTTTCTTTCTTTCTTTGCTTTCTTTCTTTCTTTCTTTTCTTTTTTAACATATTTTAATTCCTTTGATTTTTTTTCTACATTTTTTATAATTTCATTTCATGATTTCTTTCATTTTTTTCCTTTTTTCTTTCTTTCTTTCTCACTTGCTTTCTTTTTCTAAATATATATTTTTTAAATATTTTAATATATTTCATTTTCTTTCTTTTACATTTTTCATAATTTCCTAATTTCTTCCATTTTCTTTTTTCCTTCTTTCTTTTTTCTTATTGTTTCTTTTGTTTTAATATTTCTTTGTCTTCAAAAGTAAAGTTCTAAGTATCAGTAAAACAAAGTAATCCTTATTCTCAAAGAAATGAAGCAAAAAATAAAACAATGAATATCCAAAGACAAAATGTCCAAAGCAGTCAAATAAAGCCAGACTTGCATTCTTCAAAGAACCCCAGTCAGTCAAAAGCCCTTTTCATTTTTCTTCACCTATAATGTCAAGTGTGATTAAGTACAATTTGAAATGAAAAGATGCAATGTGATGAGACAAGAGGACATGATGGAGTCATTGTGTCTGGGGATGTAGAGGTCATAATTAACAGAAAGTAGAAAGTTCATTCTCTTTGAGATGCTACCATTTTTGGCACTAATGATCAGAGCTAAGATGACAGACCTAAAATGGAAAGAGGGCATTCTGAATGAAAAAAAACTCAAAGTAATTGAAATGGCTGCTGCACCACCAAGTAAAAACTTCTGCATTCTTTTTGGTTATTTTCAAAACGAGAAAAAATTCAAAATTTTATCAAGTCGGTGGTTTAACTATGGAATATTTTCATCAAATCTGGCAACCTCAAAGAAAGATGTCTTGATTAAAAATTGCCTCTCTAAATTTTGTATCCCTTTACTAATTTAAGTTGAGTCATTATAATTACATGAGTTGTTTGAACAATTGAACTTTTTCTTTTTATTGCTTTTGTTGTTATCACAATGTTTCAGTCAGTTGATTCTTATGGCCTTCTTCAGGTATATATGTTATGTGATAGATAACTTCAATATTTTTGAAAAGAGTTATCATCATTACATGACTAGTTTCGCCAATTGAATCTATTCTTTTTGTTGCATTTATTGTTACTACAATGTTTCAGTCAATTGATTCTATGGCCTTCATCAGGTATAGATATTATATGATAGATACCTTCCATATTTTTGAAAAGTGTTATCATCATTACATGGCATATATGTATGCCTGCATGTTCACACATCTTCTATCCGTTTGTTTTTTTTTTTTATGATGGGGTCTGTGTAAGACTATGGTAGGTAAAATTGTTATTATTTTAATTTTTAATTTTTTTAAGATCCTTTCATATTCACAAATAAACTTTTGTGTCTGGTTGTTAAAAGATGAGAGGAAAACACTTTGTTGGCTTATCTTGTAATTTATTCTGAGTACTTTCGACACATGGCATAATGTCATCATCAGGGTATTGTTAAATATTAAGTAAGTGTCTGTCTATATTTCTAAGATGAGGTATTATGTACATTATTTACATTATTTGAACTATTGTCCTCATCTTTGTCGTCATATTAATTACTGCCTTAACTGGGTATTGAACTCACACTCTTTGGGTCCTGTCACTGGATAAAGGCATTGGTTACATCCAGTGACATGACCCAAAGAGTGTGAGTTCAATACCCAGTTAAGGCAGTGGAGAACTTTCAGAGGGAAAATTAACACGAGATAACTGATAACTGACATCCATCAAACATGGCACATGGAACTAGAACAGTCTACCCCAGTGAGCGAAATAAAGGGTTCAGTTCAACATTCCAACCACCTGAAGAAGGCCGGAGCGTACAACAGACGAAATGATAAATATGGCGACAAATAGTCTGAATAATGTAAATAATGTAAGTATTTAGTGCTCATGGTTGTGAAGGACAAAAATTGTTCTGGTTATCCAAAGAGTAGACAGAATGTGTCTAAATTATTTAACAAAACCTGTCAATGAAAACATGCTGCCAAAATACATGCTATCCTTCTCCTCATCCTTTCCTCTATCACTCCTATTTACTCTTGCTTCAAATCTTCTGTAACCCCTTGCATCCTAGTGGCTTCCTGCCTTGTTTGGGGTGAAACGCTTAAATAAAAAAAACATATATATATATATATATATATATATATATAAATGATTGTAATGTGTAACTCTTAATAATATATATCTTCAATCAACACTGAAGATTCCTTATTATGATAGATCATCTAATAAAACTGTTAATGACACAAATAATCTGTGTACAAGGGCTGATCAAAAAGTATCAGGACTGGTGCTATAAAAATAAAACTACAACACATATCAATTCGGCATTTAATCTCCTTTGAAGTAATCCCCTTCTGAAGTCACGCACTTCATCCAGTGTCAATTCCAGTGATGAAATCATTCCTTCACTCCTTTTTGGGATAGCAAGAAGCTACCTTGTCACATTCTCTTGGATTTCCTTGACATCTTGAAATCTTGTTTCTTTCAAGTTGGATTTGAATTTTGAAAAAGAAAAAATCACAAGAGGTGAGATCTGGGGAATATGGTGGTTGTCTTACATAGGGAATTTTTGCATACATATATATATATATATATATATATATATATATATATATATATATATATATATATATATATTGCAAAGAATCATTCATGCAAAAATTAAATTGGTAAAGTTAATGAGATAAAATGGTGAATTCACTTTGCTAACTAAATTTTAAAAATGCATTAACCTACTAATGACTTGATGAATGTTATGATCCTTGTTTTTTAAAATTATAATGTGTATTAGGTCTTCCTTAAATATGCAAGTACTTTCGACAGGTTTTCCAGTCATCATCAAATATTAATATTGATATTACAAATATTAAATATGCAAGTACTTTCAACAGATTCTCCAGTCATCATCAAATATTAATATTGATATTACAAATATTAAATATGCAAGTACTTTCGACAGGTTCTCCAGTCATCATCAAATATTAATATTGATATTACAAATATTAAATATGCAAGTACTTTCTGTCAAAAGTACTTGCATATTTAAGGTATTAAGGTATGAATCAACAAAATCTAAATGGGGCCTGATCGAATGTAAAAGACCCACTCCAACTAGAGGGATTCAAATATTCTAAATTGTTTGAAATTTGTTCAAGGGCACCCTATTAAATCTGAAAATAAATAAATCTCTTCTGTTATTATATCTTTATTTGTTTTTTATAGTTGTATCATATGGCCAAAACTAGAAATCCCTTGGGGGCCCTTCTAGTCTTGGGGCGCTAGTCTGCAGCCTATATTAGCCCATATGTTAATCCAACAATTTTATTCAGAGTGTATTGATCTCTCCCCATTTTGCTTGTCTCTAATTTCTCTTAGAATTTTAACATTGGAAAAATGTAACATCCTACAGGGCTTCATAAGTGTCTTTGAATTTCTTTTCCTGAATAATACAATAATATAGCATAAATTGTCATCAAGCCATTAACGTCATTCCAAAGCCAGTCTTATCCAGTGTCATTTGACCTGTTCAATTTCTGAAATACAATCAACATTTCATATTACTCTTCTATTGATTAAACACAATGTGATTCATTATGTTACTATTGCGATGTCAGGGTTTCCCTCTCCCTCTCTCTGCTTTTGTCTTACAAGAAGGCTTCTGTTGAATGTGTTCTAACAATATTCTCTTTATTCTCAAAAGTACCGACATGACTTTTGAATGTCTAATCACACACCTTCTTAAATTCAAAGCAACTTTAAAATAAATTAACTTTTCAGAAGACAAAATGTATGGTTAATTACAAACTGGAGATGCCAAAATTTAGCAAGTACAAAAATTGAAGGTAATCCTTCACATAAGCAGCATAAAATTATCTGTCAAAGTTCTGCTTCACTTAAACGATATAAAATAGACTATGCTGCTCATATTTACACTATATACATCATTCAGACTGTTTGCCACATCTTTATTGCCATATTCAAAATGTTTCAGCTGTTGTATGTTCCAGCTTTCTTTAGTGATATATCTTGGTATTTCAAACCAAACCCTTTATTTAATCTGTGAGGGAGAATGTTCTAAAAATGGCTGAAACATTTTGGATGTGGCAGTAAAGATGAGGACAACAGTCCAAACAATGT